TACAGTACATGACTTCAAATGTACTTAAGCACGTTAATTTGCACTTCAATGCACATTTTTGGACTTTTTTTAGGATAGTGCTATTGTGAAATCAGAATTCACACAGTAAAGCATCTTTAAGCAACCATTAAATCTAAAAACAAACTGTAAAAGAAGAGTGAATATTCCCCTTTTCTCATGTCGCCCATCCCATGAAATGGAATCCTCTGCTGATTCTTACTTGGGGAAATAGCACTTCCCAGAGTGTTGATCTCCTGGTCCCCTGCAGCAGTCAATACTGTGTGCTTTACTGATTTGGCAGCGGGAAAAAAAGCGTATTTACGCTCTTCTTTTAAAAAGGTAACAGGTATTGAGATTTTATTTTCTGAACAGGGTTGCTTTAAATCCTGCTGCATCTGCATGCTTTTTCTATGCCCCGCATTAAATTACGTACATTGCAAAATGCCTGCAAACACGTGCTGGTCTTCAAAATAACCCCTTGCAGCACCTTGGATCTGAGGCACATACTGTAAACAAGGGATTGACTGCTCTCCAAGATGAGAATAAGCCTCACTCCTCAATACTTCACAGGGCACTAGAGGATCTGACACTTGCCAGTTCAATGACAGAAAGCAGGGCTAACAAGAAGGAAGAGGTGGGTCTTCATACTGACAGAGAGAAGTTGAGGTCCAGTGTACAACCCAGACCCAAGATACAAAAGGCTCCATAACAATTGGTCTAAGCAGCAACACAGACACAAGCAAGCAGCACAAGGTGCCCACACTTTAGCACTATTGGCAACCAAACTGTGTATCGTGTTAAGGTAGAATAAACAGATGTAAAAACATAACCTACCTGGCCCGAGAGATTCTTTCCCCATTTGTCCAGGCCGACCCTTCTCTTTTTTACCGAAAAGTCGACCAATTGATGACTTAATTCCTTTTTTCTTTGGGGCTTTATTGAGCGAGTCTTGGCTGCTGTTGCTGCTGCTGCTGGGATTGCTTACTTGCCCATCCTGTGAGCCCGTAGAACTATATAAGAGAAAGGAAGTAGAAGTATGTATCAAGTGTGACAATGCGTGTGAACATTGTAGCGTATCATGAACCAGTGAAAAGACTGTGTCAAACTTAGTTGCTTCACCACCTACTCATTGGGGTGGGTTGTTTTAGTAACCTAGATTCCTTAACTCGTAAACCTCCAAAAACATTCACATGGAGAAGAATTGGTTCCGAGGCCTCATTCACACTGCCATAAATATGCTGCGCATAGATGGGTGCAGAGTTTTTTTCCCCATACGCAAATAAATGGCTCCATACACTTAGCTGCGTATGGAGCCGTATTTTTGTGCTGCGTAAAAAAAATGAAACAGAGATGTGTTCGGGTTCGGAATTTCTGCGTATTTTATGCACGTGCGCGCGTATATGCATGTACAGTGCATTCAAGTTTTCTATTAAAAATTATGCATTCTGGGATTGCATACAGTTCACGCATACATACGCATCTATCCGCATTTACAAATATGCCTTCAATTTTCCTCTTGCGTTGTGTGAATGAGGCCTAAAAGCACAACTGCAGCCAAAACCTTTTTTTCTAATTTTGGAAAGTGAGGAACACATAGGAACCTCTTTTAGGTTATTTGTTGCCTCATTGCAGAGATTCACACTCTTTTTTTCAGTAAAATGGGGAAGGCTTAGAACCTTTGTCAGACTATTGTTAACATATGTGACAACTGTTCTCTTTTCATGTCCTACCGTCAAAGGGACAGGAATTGAGATGAAATCTACCCACAGAAACAGTCACATGAAAGTGAAGTTATAATAAAACAGATCTGCATACTGCTAAAGGTTACATACTTTCTAATGTCTCGGATGTCCTCATGGCTCATAGTGTGCAATGCTCCTTTATGAACGGAGCTTAGTCGCAAAGATCTTGGAGAGGAAGGGGGAGAAGTTTCGCATCGTATCGTAGTCTTGTCATCTCGGGAATCAGTACCTGGAGGCTGGATAGGGCAAGACATGCATTAGACACAATACACAAACACATTCTCCTAACTGTAGCATAAACACTACAATTCAACAAAAACATATACAAGCTGAATCCCAAGCAAAAATGAAAGCCCACCAATCAAAAATCAAAAAGTTGTGGCCAAACTGATAAGCCTCTACATTTAGGGGGGGGGGTTTCCCCATCCCTTTCTGGATTGGATTGCACCCTGTTGCCTTAAAGGCATTTGAATCTGACCCTTGGCTACCTATGTAAAGCAATTCAAAATTGGCCACACAACCTATGTTGCTGGTGCCCTGCTGTCTCTAAGCCATTTTCAATCTGACCCATGATCCTCCTCGTCGGCTACCTGTGCAAAAGCAATTTAGCTTAGCAAAGACAAGTACTGCAAATGTTAGATGTATTTACCGATAAAAACCACCACCCATTGACTTGACACAAGAGGGGTTATTCACAAAAAGGTGAAGAGTTTGGAGAAGGCAGGAGAAGGGAACAATCTAGGACAACATGGATGAACTGGAAAGTGAGCTGAATTCGTGAATGTTTCCTAATCAGCTATGTTGGCCTAGATTGTTCACTTCTCCGGCCTTCTCCAAACTCTCCACCCTTTTGTGAATAACACCCCAGGGAGTCTGGTTATCTAAAGGTTAAGCAGCTACAAGAGCTGCTGGGACAAGCAGGACAACCAGTATAAATACACTTCACATTTTTACTGCCTGATGCATTTATGCTGTACAGAGAGCCATGGAATTCAGCTTTCTAATGTAAATTAACATAATGGGAAAATATATTACAGAACTGGCCACATAATTCCCAACCTCATCTACAGATGCAATTGATTTGAATGGAACTAGTGATCTTTTGCAGGGTCTGGTGTTCTCATCTGGGAGTCTATTTGTGTATGTGGAGTTCCTCTGGGTAATCCGTTTTGACCTACACTCTAACACAACTTTGACAAACATTGGGCAGGTGCAATTTTCCATAAGTAAGAGGTTCTTTTAATGAAAGCACCCATTAATCTTAGTGAGCGCTCTCCCTTCTGACAATACAACTCCAGCACACATATGCACATAAGTACATGATCAGCTGTCACCCAAATGCAGAGCCGGAAAGGCCAGATGCAAAAGAAGACCTGATGGAAAATGCCAGCGGTGGAGCGATAAGGGGCAGCATGGAGGTCGGCACACTAGAGGGTTATAATGGCAAATTATGGCAAGAGCCCACCCACGCTAAAAGCACCACTTTAAGGTAAACACTGTTATAACAAGAAAGTACTCGCGCACTAAAAATACACTATACTTCCCCCTTTAGAAACCAAACACTTGAGAAAAACCGTCACTGCTGGCAATGTCATCAAACTGAACAGATATGCTTGTGTATGTTCATGGTGTGTGTACAGAACCATTATGAATGTCATATGTGCCTGAAAAGAATTCACAAACCAGGCTAAAAGCATATTTATCTTGCACATACTTTTTTCACATGGATCAAATGCCTTTTCCTGAGCTGAGCAAATAAATGAGTTAAGGTCCATGTCATGGAGGTTTTCCCTCACTTGAAACGCACATCAAAAACGCAGGTCAGCAGAATCACAATTACCTTAATTGAACAGTACACACGACAGTTCAGACCTGCTTTGTGTTGCATGTCCTGGAGTGTTTGAACTACAGGCAAAGCAAGTCAAATGCAGAATGTTCTTGTCAAACGCATGCATTTGAATATAGAAAGCAAACTTAGTGTTTGAATAGAACGTAAAACCTTAAGATCAACTCATCAAGAAGAAATTTACTATAAAGCTGGCCATACACGGCACTATTTTTTTCAATCAATCTGCGGGCTGAATGAAAAAAAACCAAAAACAGATTCCTCTATCAAAGCTATGAGCACATCGATCAAAGAATCCCGCTGTTTATGTATTCTGACAACGGCCGTCACAATACCACAACAGAGCTCATTAGCTGCCAGCTCTGTACGTACAAAGATTTTGCGACTGGCTTCTTCGATCAGCTGATCGAAGGATGCCAGCACAAAGGGTGCCAACAGCGGCACCCACTGTACGAAATTTGCACCGTGTATGGCCACCTTGATGCTGCTTTTTGGCAGCCATGTATTATCAAGCTATGAATTTAAGAGACTGCCGACATCTACATAAAAGTAACTTCTTACAATGCGTAGTAATAAGCTAAATGTCTTCATACAACAATCACAGTTAAGAGGTCACAACACGATTTCAAAATAAAATAAAATTTGATAACCACAGTAATGCTCTATTAAAGGTCACGTCACCCAAAACAGTTATTTCAGAAATGGAGACTGGGGAGCCGATTCACAGGCAGTCTGCTTTCATTTCTCAGGGATCCCCCCAGCGTTAGTTTTGCTCAGTACAGCTCATGCGTCAGATTGGAGTCTTCCATCTCCTGCTGCTGAATGTGTATTCTAAATCTTCCAACCGTATTATGAATAAGGTAAAATAAATGAGGGATAGTGACATGGCAGGCAGACAGCTCTGGGGACTAAGCGGATGATTTATAAGGAGAGCAGACATGGTTATTCGCACTCCAACAAACCGAGTGAACTGTTCACTCTGCACTGCATGTTACGACTCATTCCTAAAATGCACAGAGCTGTGTGGAGCATGCAATGTCCCATAGAGTACTGTGCATAATGCTGCACAGGGCACTCTGCAAATGCGGGACACTGACAGGTCATGTGACTGGGGCTTTCCTCTTACCCATTAAGTGAAATCGGGCTTCCGTTTTCTTTGGAAAGCAAGCAGGCAGAGGGCACCTTTGTAAAACACATTGCCATGCTTTATAAATGTGCTTCAAGTCCAAATCACTGCTTTATACACCGCCCCCCTGATGAAATACCAGTTTTGGATAAGATGAAAATCTTAAAAAGAGTAATCATGACACAAAAAAGGGCATGCAATAGCACAACAATGGTTAACAGATAAAATCAGCAGGCTATTACCTTTCTACGATATTTCCTTAAATCGCTAGGCTGATAGAGACACGCAGAAAGAGGAGTTAGTAGAAGAAAGAAAAACCATGAAGAGAGGCAACACTATCACCCATTATTACCGGAGCCGTGTAACTTACAAGATTACACAGTGCACACAGCAGAAACCTGAGAACATTAACTTACTGCTAAAATGATTCAAGAGATGGTGACACACACAATTATGGGTACAGTAAGAAAAGTATTACGTAGTCATTTCAGATCAGTCACTGGAGGGCAGCATTACAGATACAGTAATTGGATGGAAGAGAGAATAGTATTAGTTCAGGAACACCAATACACACCGAAAACCCAGGTCACTGAAGAGGAAATGCTATACAGCAGTAGAAGGCCAGTTATCATAGGACAGCATTGTATATCATCTGCACAGACAATAGGGGGCAGTATTGTGTATTTGTACAGGCACTGGAGGGGCAGTATTGTGTATTTGTACAGGCACTGGAGGGGCAGTAATGTGTATTTGTACAGGCACTGGGGGGGCAGTATTGCGTATTATTTGCACAGGCACTGGAGGGGCAGTATTGTGCATTTGTACAGGCACTGGAGGGGCAGTATTGTGCATTTGTACAGGCACTGGAGGGGCAGTATTGTGCATTTGTACAGGCACTGGAGGGGCAGTATTGTGCATTTGTACAGGCACTGGAGGGGCAGTATTGTGCATTTGTACAGGCACTGGAGGGGCAGTATTGTGCATTTGTACAGGCACTGGAGGGGCAGTATTGTGCATTTGTACAGGCACTGGAGGGGCAGTATTGTGCATTTGTACAGGCACTGGAGGGGCAGTATTGTGCATTTGTACAGGCACTGGAGGGGCAGTATTGTGCATTTGTACAGGCACTGGAGGGGCAGTATTGTGCATTTGTACAGGCACTGGAGGGGCAGTATTGTGCATTTGTACAGGCACTGGAGGGGCAGTATTGTGCATTTGTACAGGCACTGGAGGGGCAGTATTGTGCATTTGTACAGGCACTGGAGGGGCAGTATTGTGCATTTGTACAGGCACTGGAGGGGCAGTATTGTGCATTTGTACAGGCACTGGAGGGGCAGTATTGTGCATTTGTACAGGCACTGGAGGGGCAGTATTGTGCATTTGTACAGGCACTGGAGGGGCAGTATTGTGCATTTGTACAGGCACTGGAGGGGCAGTATTGTGCATTTGTACAGGCACTGGAGGGGCAGTATTGTGCATTTGTACAGGCACTGGAGGGGCAGTATTGTGCATTTGTACAGGCACTGGAGGGGCAGTATTGTGCATTTGTACAGGCACTGGAGGGGCAGTATTGTGCATTTGTACAGGCACTGGAGGGGCAGTATTGTGCATTTGTACAGGCACTGGAGGGGCAGTATTGTGCATTTGTACAGGCACTGGAGGGGCAGTATTGTGCATTTGTACAGGCACTGGAGGGGCAGTATTGTGCATTTGTACAGGCACTGGAGGGGCAGTATTGTGCATTTGTACAGGCACTGGAGGGGCAGTATTGTGCATTTGTACAGGCACTGGAGGGGCAGTATTGTGCATTTGTACAGGCACTGGAGGGGCAGTATTGTGCATTTGTACAGGCACTGGAGGGGCAGTATTGTGCATTTGTACAGGCACTGGAGGGGCAGTATTGTGCATTTGTACAGGCACTGGAGGGGCAGTATTGTGCATTTGTACAGGCACTGGAGGGGCAGTATTGTGCATTTGTACAGGCACTGGAGGGGCAGTATTGTGCATTTGTACAGGCACTGGAGGGGCAGTATTGTGCATTTGTACAGGCACTGGAGGGGCAGTATTGTGCATTTGTACAGGCACTGGAGGGGCAGTATTGTGCATTTGTACAGGCACTGGAGGGGCAGTATTGTGCATTTGTACAGGCACTGGAGGGGCAGTATTGTGCATTTGTACAGGCACTGGAGGGGCAGTATTGTGCATTTGTACAGGCACTGGAGGGGCAGTATTGTGCATTTGTACAGGCACTGGAGGGGCAGTATTGTGCATTTGTACAGGCACTGGAGGGGCAGTATTGTGCATTTGTACAGGCACTGGAGGGGCAGTATTGTGCATTTGTACAGGCACTGGAGGGGCAGTATTGTGCATTTGTACAGGCACTGGAGGGGCAGTATTGTGCATTTGTACAGGCACTGGAGGGGCAGTATTGTGCATTTGTACAGGCACTGGAGGGGCAGTATTGTGCATTTGTACAGGCACTGGAGGGGCAGTATTGTGCATTTGTACAGGCACTGGAGGGGCAGTATTGTGCATTTGTACAGGCACTGGAGGGGCAGTATTGTGCATTTGTACAGGCACTGGAGGGGCAGTATTGTGCATTTGTACAGGCACTGGAGGGGCAGTATTGTGCATTTGTACAGGCACTGGAGGGGCAGTATTGTGCATTTGTACAGGCACTGGAGGGGCAGTATTGTGCATTTGTACAGGCACTGGAGGGGCAGTATTGTGCATTTGTACAGGCACTGGAGGGGCAGTATTGTGCATTTGTACAGGCACTGGAGGGGCAGTATTGTGCATTTGTACAGGCACTGGGGGGGCAGTATTGTGTATTTGTACATTGCACAGCGATTGACACTTTTGTGTGTGCTTAAAATGGGTATTCAGGTGCGTTCCAGTGCGTTTGCATGCATTTTTATGCGTTGTTGCGTTCCGATGCAGCTAAAATAGGGAAAGTAGTATTTTTTTCTGGCTGCATCGAAACGGACTGCACTGGGGTAAACAGAGCACCAGAAGTCCCATAGGAAAGCATTGTGATTCATTTTGGATGCAGCTGCCAAACTGAACGGATTGCATCACAACTGCATCTGGTGTGAACTAGCCCTAAAAGGTATTATAAATTGTAAAGTAGCATCAAGGTTACCACTAAAGGGCCAAGGTTACATATTTTATCAGTTGTCAGTACAGCAGCAATATCATATAGTGTTACCGGCCCATTATTGCCAGCTTAGTGACCAGGAAACCACGTTGTCTGTCTGAGTGGATACCAGAGGGTGTAAGGTTATACAATACTAGTTCAGATACTGAAGGGACAACAATTTACAATGCTGGTCTAAACTTTACAGAAGCAAAATTATAGATGTCATCAATATTGGCACTAGAAATGTATTCTAATACAGTAAACACTCCTTTCTCATCTCATGAAGACAAATGTTTTACAGCCACATTAATCCCATCATTGGAGTGTGACGGCACTGCTGGGCTGTAGCTCTAGTTCAAAGAAAAATTATTTAGCTGTGCTTGTCCCTTTATGAAGATAGCTGCATCAGCACTGGTTGGTTAACACATTCAGGCATATGATCACATAATAAAGATGTATTATATACAATATAATAGAGCTGAATTTGTAGTTTACCCAACGAGACACACACAGTGTAGTAAGAATGTTCATTGTCCTAAAGTGTACCATATAGTGTTCCCCTTTTGACCACGGGAGTATATTATACATTTTAAAATGATGTCAATGTAGTGCATGCAGAGCATTACACCAACATCCAACCAACAATGCAGCCAAGTCAATAAAAATACTTCTGTCCAGTTCTCTTAATGCTTTAAGAAGGGGGGTGACAATGCTGCTGGAATTTCAGAAGTGATCATGCAGTGTTGTCATAACCCTCCAGAAAATGATCCAGGCCACTCACCTGACAGAGGTTCTTGTACTTAGTCACTCGAAAACTAAAAACTTCTGGCTTCGATACACCTTAAATGAGAACTATGAGATGAGTGATTTCCACTCACCTCATGGTTCTAGCCGACCTGTGACAATGAGACACAATGCAAATTGTTTCTCTGTGCTAAACAACGGGGAACATTTACTGATACTGCAGTTTAATGAAAAACTGATTTCCCAATTAAAGGTCAGCAGTCACGGACAGGAAGTCACTTCTAGAAAGGTTTTTCAAAGTAAAGGTCAAATCAATGAGAGTAAAGGTGAAATGTCTGACTGAAAAGACAGACTGACGTAAAACGAGTTAGTTACTCACAAGAAATACAAAATGAATAAAAAGGAGAATGAATACTCATACTGCATGTAGAGAGAGTCCAAAGGCTAATGCATTCTGCAAACAGCCGCTCAGTGGCCAACATGCCATCATATACATCTGCCAATCACTCCGGCCATACACCACTCGAATGCAAAATGGCAAATGATGTGACATAATCTCGAAAAGCAAGAAATTCTTACGTTGGATAACAGGATCATAGACTGGCCCCACCGCCGGTGTACACAGACTGTAGGGGCAAAGTTATGTGGCCACCCCACCAATTATCGTGGTCAGGTGTTCCCAGTAAAGGGTACTGGTAATGCCACAGCATACAAAGATTTTGGCTTGCAACCTTGTAGTAGGCCCTTTCCTGTTCCAGCATGGCAGTGGCCCTGTACACAAAACCAGCTTCATAAAGACATGGTTTGATGCGGTGGGTGTGAAGGAACTAACTGCACTTCAATCCTATTAAACACCTTTGGAGTGAACTAGAATGCTGACCAAGCCAGGTCCTCTCATCCAACTTCAGTGACATACCTCACAAATGCTAGGTTTAGTTGAAGGGTCACAAATTGCCACAGACACACTCCAAAATCTTGTGGAATTCCCTCCCAGAAGAGTGGTGACTTTTATAACAGCAAAGAAAGGATGGGGGGGGGGGTCTCCATATTAATTATATTACTGGTTTTGGAAAGGGATGTCCAACAAGCTCACCTAGTTGTGATAGTCAGGAGTCCACAAAGCTTTGGCCATATACTGTCTGTGTCAATGCAGTATTTTAGTTCATAGTCTTTAGTATCTTTTGCTAATTCTGCTTATCTACCACTGAAGATTTCCCATTCACATACCCCAACTCTGTAATAGCCTGCCAAAATAACCTCCTCCACTAATACACCTCATTTTCAAACTTGCGCACAAAGGCTCTGTATTAGACCTGAAAGTACAATCTGGCCAAATCCAGGTCTGGAGTAGAAGTATCATTTGGCCTATGAAGTCCTGTGGGCTGACTAAAGGAATGTCAATAATATTGTGGCGCGTACTCCAAAAAGACAAACTTTGTACAACAAATAAGAAAGCTGTTACCTCTGACCTCCTCTTGACAATGCTAACTGCCTGGCTGTTACACTGACCCACTGGCTTAAAAATCTTCTAAGTCACAGACTCAGAACAAGCATGCCAATCATGAAAGTCAGAGAAAAATCTGAATCAGGTAGGCAAACAGCATTTGCAGGAGAGGTCAGTAACAGCCTCCACTATGTTCCTCCGAGGAAAAGGTGTCCTTTACTATTCAGCACTTGGCTTCCAAAACATGGAAGTTAGAAGTGGCGAAGATTTAAAGTAAAAAAAAAACAAAAACATCAGAGATGCCATTGCCATCTTGTTTTTAAAAGGCACAAAGCTCAGCAGCTGATAACCGTATCCTCAGATAGAAGACCTGGTAAAAAAAGAAAATGTATAGCCACAGGGGACATAACTCCAATGCTGCATACTTGGTCCAGGCAGAAACTCGCACATAAGGGAAGCAAAGATGAGGATAAAAGCTCCAGGAGTCCGCACTTGCGAAAACAATTCAGCAATGGCAGCTCCAATATTTCTATTTTAAGTTCATTTTAACAAACCTTGTACAATAACTGGTTTTATCAGCATTTGGTTAGGGTCACAAATTTACACCGGTGCTCTTGAAAGGAATCCTGTCTTTAAGGGTTGTTAAACCCTCACGTTTTTTTTGCATATATCTACAGCTAGCAAGCAGTAGATATATGCAAAAACTTGAAAAACAAACAAACAAAAAATACCTTTTTAAACAGGTTTTAACTTACCTGTGTCTTCGCCGTGCGCTCCTGTCCGAACATCTGAAGAGTCTCGGGTGGCCGCAAAGGATCTTGGGGCGGGGGCATGCGCAGTTCAGATGTTCGGCCGGGAGACGAGGAGAGACACAAGGTAAGTATATGGAGCAGCGTGCACCCGCACAGACACGGTGGGACATGAGAGGACAGAGGAGTCAGCGCTGGATCGGAAACCCGCACCAGCGCTGGAGGGACAGCTGAAAAGGACAGGAAAGAAGATGATCGGATTAAGAAACATAATTTAAGATAAGTCCTTACATTAGCGTTGTGGGGGAGGGGGGGGATTTTTGAATTTAATGTCACTTTAATAGATACAAATACATAAGCAGTGCAGTTTTATAACTTCTCAGTCACACAATAAAATAAAGTCAGTGAATATGAAAAATCCCTTGTTTCTATAAAAGTTCCTGATCAGTGATTTAAATATACTAAAGCCATAGTATCAGCATGAGAGCACAGCAAACAGTATTTTTAGAATATCAGCTTACACATAATAATTGAATTACTACCCTTATACAAAGAACATTACTTTGCTTAACCAGAGAATCCTGCACCCCCAGTGTTTTCTAACCTCCCAAAATAACTTGGTGTGCAAAGACTGGATACATACCAAGGTCATAACGCCTAGTCTGTCCACTTCCCGGGCAGGGCTGTGAGGAATTCTTCTGGGAGTGGAGCGTCCGCTGCTAGGGGGGGAGGAGCCTGCAAGGGCAGTGCCAGGGAAAGAGGGAGGAATAGAGGTCATCGACCGGAACCGGCCAAGGTTATCTAAACTGCCACTGCCCACCCTAGACTCAATCTCCTCAGCTCTCTGCTCAGTCGTCTCCTTCTCCTCCTGAATCAATCTGTATGAAGCAAAACAAGAGTCCAGTAAAAATTTCGTAAAACACACACTTTTAAAGTTTTGTTTTTTCCCGAACATAACAGACATACACACGTGCCCATATGACGCATTATGGCGTGTAATCTTAAACCGACAGTGCATACAAAGTCCTGGCCCCCGCATAGAGCCTATTTCAGATGATTTTCATATAGAAGTCTATAAGGAAACCACCATCATAAGCCTGAAATGCGGACTGTAGCAGCTTTAAGACCTAGAGCAGGAAGTTCTTGGCTGAGGCTTTTTAGGAAAAATGGACTGGATTCATATAGACTTTTATTCAGCTTAATGGTCATTTCCCAACAGGAAGTAACCATAACACTTCTGTAGGTAGGATAAGTAGTGAGCAAACACTTTCATGAATTTAATTTTAGAAGGAGCAGGGTTGAACGAATCTGAACACATCTATAAGCATTAATGTACCTGATTTCATTATTAATGGCATCCAATTGTTCCTGCAACATCACAGCGAGCGTCTGAGCGTCCGCCTGGCCGCATGGGGAAAGGAGATCCACAGAGCTGAAAATGGTGTCTCTGTCATCCTCCATATCAGATATATCTACATCGCTTTCAAAAGCTTGGGCTACATTAGCCAGTACACTAGCCTGCTGGGCTCGCTCCCAGTCCTGCTCATTGAGAGTCTGTACCTGTAGAAACAATAAACATGTGAATAAGTCATGTGCAGCTTTCCATTGAAGTGAAGTAAGAAAATGGAAAGAAACAAAGCGAGGACACTTACGTGCTAAAAGTGGAGATCCAGAGAGTAAACAAGAGAGAAAAAGAACAAGACCTTTAGATAGAGATAGTAGAAAGCTCTTAACACAATATAAGTGCACAAAAAAGGCAAGATGATCAGGAATCTATAACAAACATGCATCAAACAACCAGTGTAAGAGCACATCTTCCATCAAAGCCACTGGAAATGAATGTCAGAATTCCTGTATAAAGTATTACGGGAATATTAGCCCTAAAACACCATAACCTGCCCACAGACTACTACATGCATGGGGACCTTTAAAGCCCAACTCCAGCTAAACCCTTTTTATTTTTAGATAGAGCCTCTGTTGGGTTTGTGTCCCTATTGGAGTAATCACCATCACTTCCTGTCCCATATACATATCTCTCCAAAGTGAGGGAAATCCCTCTTAGACAACTGTTACCAGAACAGACGTGCACACTGAAAGACTTTCCTTCTAACCTGGAAAGCAACAACAACAACAACAACAAAATTGTGGTTTGTGTCTAGCTGACACTTGTGCATCTATTTTTGTCCCGGTGACACCAGGACAAGAACTTAGGTTTTAATTAACAGCCAGTGATCATACCCGACACCCTTCACTCACTCACTATTCAAAACAAAAAAAGATTTGACTGAAGTTGGGTTTTAATGCGACTCTGTTGCCATGTTAAAAAGTATATACTCACCTGCCTTCACATCAGATACTACTGTGGGTCGCATGGTGTGGTTTCATCCGCAGAGCTACATGTCACTACTGAATCTATAGGGGCTAGTAGGAGGAATAACAGAGCACAGCGGACAACCAGGTAGCGGATACACCCAAAATATGTATTAGCAGTAAAGAAGCCGTTGCTAAGCAAGAGAATGAAGGTCACAGGGTTGGATGGGGGGGTGGGGGGGGGGACATTTATAAACTTTTCTTTTACAGGTTGTGCCTACCAGCAATGTGTTTTGTGAATGTAAAGTTAGCCAATGCGCTGTTCAGTGTACAATACCAGCTCCTACAGGGATGAATCGCTCACCTTCACGTCACTCTGGGCCAGCCAATCAAGATGGCTAAAGATGTTGAACTTAGAAGAAGCCCAAGTGAAGAAGTCAGTGGCAGCGACAGGCAAAGGACATCACAGCCATTGCAGCACTGAAGTGGGGACCTTTGGCAGCCAAGTCAGCCATAACATGCACAAATATGCTGTGTATACTTGTACATTATGGCAAAACCCTGAGCGCCAACAGTGGAGTTTTATTCCATTTTAAAAGGAAAAAAAAAACTGTAATTTGGTCATTTGGTGTTGGTCATTTTACACTTCTAAAATGAAACCATCTACCGAAGAGCCCAATAAGAAACCTTAGTAAAGTAAAACCAGGAACAGAGGGCAGCACAGAAGAGCCTTCAGAGTGAAAGGTAATGGTAAGCAGCTCATGTAGCCTTCTCTTAGGCAAGGCTTTTACTTCCGTTTAACAGGTTGACAGACTTGTTAAAAACCAACTCCACCCAAACCAGTTTTTTTCCTTTCTGGGAGAGACAGGGTTGGGTCCAATCTACTGCAGCGCTCTTATTGCTGTCTAGGACCCCAGGATAATTGCATCACATGGGATGTCCTCCGGAGAATTCTTTATAGGAACATAAAATCTTAGTCAGAGAGTAGTGATAAGAAGAATGTTTGGTCACAAGATTCCCACAACTTTCATATAATTGGAAGGATGTGTGAATCCAATAAATAAAAGAAACCTAACTGATTCAATTTAAGCAGTACATTAAAATAGATCTTGCACCAAAATGTGAGGTCTGCCATTTACTTTGACCTTCACCCAGCAACAAACGGCTACAGTAAATAAAGAGAAAAACACAATTTAACTATGTTCAACTTACTCCCAGTGCCTAGGCAAGGATGAGGTCTTGCTTCTATATGGCAAGATCCCTGGGAATGCTGGGTAGTCAAAGTCTAGCAAGAATATTGCTACTGCATTGAGCTGGAGCATCATCTCACTAGGTTTGGGCTACTAAGCAGGAGTGCGATGGCTTCCTTTGCAGTACAGAAGCCAGAAGAAAGGCAAATATATTTAGGTTTTTAAGAATGTATTGTTTTGGCGTGCTTGTAGTGCAAGGGTGACTACTGTATAAATAATCTTGTTGATGTACACTTTTATCCCTACACAACACAAAAGGGTTAGTATACCTTTGAGGGCTCATCGCGCAGAGCAGCTAGCCGTCCTTTCTGCGGCCTTCGTAGAACCATCGAAGAACTATAGTTGTCCGAGTGGCCGTCAGATAATGAGGAAGGAGCAAGAGCATATCGGAAGTCGGGCACACTGCCGAGGTGAGGCCGGCTGTACAAGAAAAGTAACAAATTTGTCAAATAAGGTCGTTCCTTTCTCTCATCCAAAGAATATAGCTTGCCACGGCTGTATTCACTAAATGGACAGGAAACTACAAGGAATTAAAGTGACACTAAACTCAGGAGTTCCATTTTAAAAATGCATTCAAGTAACTTAACTAATAACAAAACATTTTTGCTTTTGAATCACTCTGAATTCATGCCGACACTGTCCTTCCTTCTGGAGGGTGGCTACTTTTGTTCTACATGGTCCCTGTGTGTGTTGTAAAGTAGCCACCGCTCCAAATGCGCTGCACTGCTGCTCTCTCCTTGTGCAGGAACGCTCTTGCACAGAGGTAAAGTTTCAGGGCCCATTCACACTGGATGTTTATTTCTAGTACAGGCGCAATGCAAGACCAAGCAATTTGCTTTGTTCCAGATTGGCTCAATACGGCATGCAGTACTTTTTTCAGCACGGCATACCGCGATACAACCGCATTACCCAGCGTTGTGTCCATAGAACTTAAAGAAATGTAATTTATGACATTTCAATAAAGTTCAAACAAGAAAAAAGGAAACCGTGCGATGTGTCGCAATCAAGAGCACCAGCAATGTGCCAGGCACACGCACACAAGTAGCAGCGAGGGGTAGTACGGCTGCTGGTGTGAATGGACCCTTACACTAAATCTGAAAGGAATGCACAAAGATACCTTAAATTTAAGCATTATTAGATTATACTGAAATTCAGCTTTAAAGGCTATACACAACTTCAAGCTCTTATTTCTGGACTATGCAACAAAAAGAATCTCCCGTTGATTATTGTGTCTCAAAAATGTAGTCGATTTAGAAGTGAACATACCTGTGATGAAGGGATGCTGCCCGAATCCTGACTTGCTCATTCTCGGCTCTCAGTGATTCTATTTCAAGCAATAGCTGATCCTATTTTAAAGGCCAAAAGAAAAAAACTATAAGAAGCTGAACTGATGCTGAATGTCTGCTCTTTCAGTTTTCTACAACAGCAATTCTAACATAATGCAAAAGTACAGCTGGCCATACACTGCTCCAAATTTTCTCTTCAACCCGCAGGCTGCATGAAAAATAGAGCAGATTTCTCCATCAACACTATGAAAGTGTTGATCAAGGAATCCCCGCTGTTCTTTCTGTATTGTCAGCGGCCGCCGGCAGAATATCTGAACAAAGCCTGCAGGCCATTGGCTGCCGGTTCTGTACATATGCAGAATTTCCAACCAGCTGACAGCAGCACCCATTGTGCAAATTTAGGCTGATTCCTCACAGTACAGAGGTACCCCGGTTCACGAACTTAATTCGTTCCACGATTCTGGTTGCGAACCGAATCAAATTTCCCCATAAGGTTCAAATACTGTATAGTACTGTATGCGCTAAAAAGCACACAAAAAAGCTTCACAGGTCTTGCTGCGACCTCGATCTCGACTAGAGGAAGCCACGACCACATGTCAGAGCGGGGAACATGGCTGCGGACGTGTTCGTCACCCGATTTGGAGTTCGCGAACGCACGCAAAATTTTGCTCAACTTCCTGTTCGTGAACCGAAGCATTTGTGAACTGAGGTATTACTGTATATGGCCACGTTAAAGGAGAAAGGGATTTTTACTCTTAAGATGAGCATTCATTGCTCAAATTTCATCAGAGTCCTTCTGACCAAGACAAAATTTGAGCAACCTGTGGCCTTGACACCCCCCCTCCCTTAACAGAAGTTTTGTACTCAATCAACTTTTGTTGAAGGCGTGTGGAAAATTGTTGGTCGAACAGAACAAGGGCTGCAGCCAATCAGCCCTACATACAGTAGGGATTTCTCAAATGTGACTGCAAAGGTGAAAATGCACCCAGAATGAGGGGCAGATTCACATTTTGATCACTGTGCCATATTCAGCAACTCAACATAATTGCAAAGCTATGCAGCATACAGTCCCAAGGTTGATCAAGGTTTGCACATGTAGACACTGCCCCACAAAGGCACAACCATATAACAAGTGATAAGAAGGAGATTATCTTATGCTGAAGGCAAATAAGTTCACCATATGAACCGAGCTGCAAAGTGGATCTGAAATGTCTAGTACGGCTAATAAGTTTAGAGAACGGCACACTGTAAATATTAAAAGTTAATTAGCGAAAAAGACAATTCCAAACTTTTTTGTTTTAAGCGTCAAACCCACCTTTTCATGCTGGATTTCCTCGATGAGTTTCTTGGCAGATTCCACGTCTCTAATTAAGGCATTCTAAAGAATGTGAAAATAAAGTTTTATTGCAGTCTAACCTGTCAAAAGGTTCATGAGCTAGATTTTTTATTGCACTATACATAATAAAAGGCATTTGTATCATCTTTTTAGAGCCTTTTAAGCAACACAGTAAACATCCCAGAAAAAGGCTACATTGTATTTACTAGTAAGATGCAATGCTAATGTAGAAGCAGAAGAAAACATTCATCGGTCAGTACAGTAGATAAGGGCCGAGCTGTGCTGCCTTGCACTGCTGGTTCCAGGGTTTCACTTCCCAGCACAGAAGCTACCAGCATAAACTTGGTATGTACACTCCGTATTTTAATGGGATTCCTGCAGGTACTTTGCTTTCCTCTCTTAACTTTCTAGTAATATACCTGGCCCAGCACTGGGTATGTAAGGACTTCTGGGAATGCGACATTAGACTGAAAGCTCCTTTAGTGGTAGGGAGTAATGTGAATGTTTTTAATTGCTCTCTAGTAGAATATAATATGCTAATGCTATAAAAAAAAAAAAAAATAGCAGAAAATTGATCCAGGACTGGCTGGTGAATAAATATCCCAAGCAAACAATAGACCTCATTGAGTCACCATCAATATGTATCACACAGCAATGTGCAGCAACCAACCGCCAATCAAATCAAACTGATAAACGCCCTAATCTGCTTGCTTGAGAAGCATTCACGAGTGCTTATCTTGCTGTAATACATAAATCTTACATGTAACTATATTTTAAAATCAACCCAGCTGCTTCTATGGCCAGAAGCATGCATTACCTTATCTTCTATAGATGCCATCCGTTCCTTGAGGTGAAGTTGTAGCCTCTCATTGGACTCTGACAAAAGCTTGTCCACCGTCTCAGACAGGCGCTTATTATGCTCCTCGTTCATCTTCTCTCTCTGTCGGGCCTAGTATGAAGAAAGTTTGGTAAATAATGTCCCCGAAGAGTACCTATAGACTGATTCTGTAAAACTGCTGCTGCGAGCTGTCATTTTCACAGTTCGCTTAAATTAGGAACAGATATTCTCAGACTCTATTAATAGCTGTTGTGCTAATAAGTGTTAGGAGTGTCAGATTTAAAACCCTGAAGGAGAGGAGAATCCAAAAGGAGACACTAAAAGGGAAAACTTGTAAACCTGATAGGACGGCAGCCTCCTCAAATACAAACGTTATATTTATTGGCGATCATGCGTTGAACTTAAAAGTAGACCTACTGCCCGCTGTCATATCCTCTGCACTCCTTTCCTACTTATAGTGTTCACTGTCATATCCTCTGCACTCTTCTCCTGCATATACCTCCCACTAAGACACGTATTTAGCAAGTCCTCAGCCTTGTTCTGTAATGGGCACACATTTGTTTATTTTCTATAAATATAATAAAAATAGAAAGTGACGCTAAACTCAGGAAATAAACCTTAAAAATCATTCCTTAAACCTTAAAAATCATTCAACTACCTTAACTATTAATACAAATGTAGCTCATTTGTGTATCACTCGGCTGTAGATCCTCAAATCCTCTCTGAATTGGTGCTGACACTGTCCTTCCTTCTGGAGGGGGGCTACTTTTGTTCCCCATGGTCCCTGTTGTAAAGTAGTCACCGCTCCAAGCTCACTCCTATGATGGACTACAATCTCATGTTTAGTTTAGTAATTTGTATTGAGATTGTAGTCCATCACAGGAGTGAGCTTGGAGCGGTGACTACTTTACAACACACACAGGGACCATGGGGTAAAGTAGCCACCGCTCCAAGCTCCATGCCGGGATGGACTACACTGAGTGGCCAGATTATTATGACCACCCCATCAATACTTCGTTGGGCCGCCTTGTGACTCCACGAGATGTAGAAAGGTGATGGGAGGAATCTGACACGGCACTGTTGCCCTTCTGTTGTCTTGTACCAGTCTTGCCACTCTCCGTTCTGCCCTAACATTGACTAGTCGCTGACGGCCACAATTCGCACGTTCAGACCCAGATTTTCGGCTGACAGTCCAGTCTTTAAACACTTTAACAACAGCTGCTCTTGAACATTTAACAAATTCTGCTGTTTTGCTGATACTCGCTCCATGGCTCCGAGCGCCAACAATCATCCCACGTTCAAAGGCTGTTAAATCGCGTTGTTTCCCCGTATCTGCAGAAACAAATCACTTCTACTGTCGTGGTAAACAACCTGCTTCCGTATTTATAATGTCTGGCCCTCTAGAAACTTCAGCGCGAAATTATAGCTACAAACGTCAGGTGGTCATAATAATCTGGCCACTCAGTGTATAATCTCAATACAGAGTAAACTAAACGTGGGATTGTAATCCTTCACGGGAGCGAGCTTGGAGCAATGGCTACTTTACAACACACACAGGGACCATGGGGAACAAAAGTAGCCCCCCTCCAGAAGGAAGGACAGTGTCAGCACCAATTCAGAGATGATCTGAGGAGCTACAGCCGAGTGATACACAAATAAGCTATAATTTTCTTAATAGTTAGGGATCTTGAATGCATTTTTAAGACTTGACTCCCGAGTTCAGTGTCACTTCAAATGAAACCGAATCAAAAAAGCAGAGGTTTTCCAAAAAAGGTTTTACATTTGGGTCAGAGAAAATTACCCTTAGCAGCCCCTGGTTCTTCTCCATTTGTCTTAACCTCTCCTCAATGTTGCCATGTCTGTCTTGCACATACTGCCCAATGTCATAGCCACTGCACTCCTCACCTGCACAGTGCCCGCTGTCATAGCCTCTGCACTCCTCTCCTGCAGATAATGCCCGCTGTCATAGCCTGTGCACTCCTCTCCTGCACAGTGCCCGCTGTCATAGACTCTGCACTCTACTTCTGCATATAATGCCCAATGTCATAGGCTCTGTTCTCGTCTCCTGCATATACCTCCTGCTAAAACACTTCTTTAGCATTAAGTCCTCAGCCTTGTTCTGGAATGGGGACACTTTTGTTAAATTTTCTATTATTTAATACTCTTTAAAGAAAACAGAATAGAAAAAGCAGAAGTTTTCCAAAAAGGAATTTGCATTTGGGTCAGTGTGACCTACCCTTTGCAGTTCCTGGTTCTTCTCCTCCAGCTGTGATTCCATTTGCCGTAACCTCTCCTCGATGTTGCCATGTCTCTCTTCAGCCTGTTACAAGGACAAGGGGATAGAAAGTGTTATATCAACTACATCGGAGCCTTCTGAACATGGCACAAACCTGATCAGCGGGTTCCAAAATAACAAAAAGGATAAACACAAACTAGTGAAATCTTGTGATATGTAGAAGCAAACAGCATCTGTAGGCCATGGCAGATAACTACAAACTTCATGATGTATCTGTAAATTTCACAAAGGTGATAGAATACAGAACTCAGTCCTGGAACTGCTCAGATGAATGCAGGGGGGAGTCCTAGAGCACATCCTACGACTTACAGGATACCCAGGGCATGCCATTTTTCATTAAGGGGCAGATACTGCTTATGCACATGGAGGGTGAACAACATGTAGTCTTTTACCAAGAAGCAGTCCATTTTGTTGAGCCAGCTAAACACCCAGCTTCATTTACATACATGAGAGCTTCTAAGTGCAGGCCTTGCTTGCCTAAACATCAATATGGAAGCTCAGTAGGGGAATCTTACAGTCAGGCCATCAAAACTAAAATGATTATAAAGGCCAAACTGATTCCAGCAGCAGGACCCCCCTCTCCGGAGAGGGACTGCTTCCTTTACAAAGCCAAACAAGCGATCAGCTTCCTCCTTAGTAAAGGGCAGCTGATACAACAGTGCTAAATAAAGTCTAATGACCTTTGAGAGGAGTTAATGGGCAGTTTTCACAAAAATACTGAAAATGCCCCATTACAATAAGCTCATGACTGCAAATGATGAAAGGTCTAAAAAAAAAAGCTTATTAAAATCTGATAGTTGTACAACCAGTAAGGGTAAAAAGAATCAAATGTTCTCTGGTGAGAAACACAGCACTCCCACCTTAAAAACAGAAGGCAAGTAAATTCCATCCCAAAACAAGATATTTATATCTCGTTTATTGATGGCAATAAATTGATGGCAGCCACATATGCAGGCAACTTAAAACGAGTGCTAATGCAAGTGAACAGGACAGACGGGTCCTATTGAATAGCGTCCGGCTCTGTTCTCAACTGTGCACAAACGTTGCTCTGCCCCACAGGATTCAATAAACCTACAAACAGCAGCACAGAGCTTGCTTCAAATTACATTAAAAGAGAACTATGGGGTAAGTGTTTTTCCCTAGGGTCATGGGAGGACATATACTAGCGTCCTCCCGTGAACCAAAGCTCAGTATATCGCGAGCTACAGCTCGCGATATACTGAGACCGCCACAGCCGGGACGGATCCTGACATTACTGTCGAGATACACCCAGCTGCATGAGTGACAACGGGCTCTGCCTATCTAGAAACTCAGAGACCGCTGTACCCGCCCCCTCCCCCGTCTGTTCCTCCAGTCAGCGCTGGAGGATTGGAGGAGGGGAGAATCCCTGCTGGGAGTGGTGACTGACAGTGACCGCTCTCTGCAGGGAGATGATCGACAAGTGAGCGAGCGACGGTATGTGTTCGCTCACTTTCCGATCTATTGAGCCGACGCGTGACAGTTTCTTTGTCACACGTCGGCTCGAACTATGAGGATGAGTGGTTTTCATGAGGAACTATGAGGATGAGTGATTTTCACTCACCTCATAGTTCTCCTTTAAGCTCAGGAGTTAAACCTTAAAAATCCATAAAGAACTATTAGCAAAAATGGATCATATTTGTGTATCACTCGGCTGTAGATCCTCAAATCATCTCTGAATTAGTGCTGAATTAGTCCCTGTGTCTGTTGTAAAGTAGTCACCGCTCCAAGCTCACTCCTGTGATGGACTACAATCTCAATACAAATTACTAAACTAAACATGAGATTGTAGTCCATCATAGGAGTGAGCTTGGAGCGGTGACTACTTTACAACAGGGACCATGGGGAAGAAAAGTAGCCCCCCTCCAGAAGGAAGGACAGTGTCAGCACCAATTCAGAGATGATTTGAGGTTTCTACAGCCGAGTGATACACAAATAATACATTTCTGTTAAGGTACCTGAATGCATTTTTAAGATTTTACTCCAGAGTTTAGTGTCACTTTCAGTCTCAGCCAGAAGCAAACAGAGGGCAGGCAATTTTGACAGGCTGACAAACAGGCCACAAACCCTCTACATGAGCCCTTAAATACTTTTTAAACTTGCCACCGTATGAACTAAAGAGCAATTTCACTAACAGAAGTCACCAATAAGATAAAATACCTCTACCACAATGATTTTAGCAACCAATTACAAATTAGTTACTAATATAATCAAGAAATTCAGAATTTAAAAAAACATTGTGGAGTCCATGCGCACAGCAGTACTGGAAGCTCCCAACTCTCTGCATCTTTTCGGATGCTTAGGTATTTAAAAGGAAGCCACTAAAGCCACTGAACTGGAACGCCCGACTACTCAGCAGCATGACGGTAAAAAAGTAAACTTTAAATGTTTATAACTTTTTATAATGATTTGGAAGACTGATCTAGCAGCATTCCTTTGCGTGAGATGCATCCTGACCATTATTACACGTTACGTACTGGATGACAGTCAGTGTAGGCAGAAGCAGAACATGCTCTGGTGTTTTGGTGAGAGCTTAATGAATGCAGTGAGAAGACTCGCTCAGTTACGTAGACAACATTTCAGCCATGAAAAGGATGGTTAGGTACAGCTGCTGATGGGTAAATGACATCCTCTCACTGCCTTTCACCAGAAAAAGCAATGGAACAAGCAAGACAAAAGAACAGTAAGCAGTTTCTACCTTCCTAGGGACGGGTGCAAGTCCCAACAGCTTAGATTCCTTAGCAGGAGGCTTTTCCGAAGACATGAGCTCAGACTACAGAGTCAGAGGATAAGAAAGGTAACAAACACACACATACTTTGATTGCACAGGCAGACAGAGGGGGGGAAAAAAAGTGTCAACAACGTAACAGATGCACACATTTACTAGGCCTAGGTAATTAGGCCATGCAAACAGCAATGACAACCCAAAGTGCTGATCAATACACCAAATGAATTCATCTTTCACCATTTAAGAATAGAAGATGAATTCTGATTGGTTGTTAAGCATTACTACACTTTGGACAATGCTCTTTGCTCTATTAAAGGGACAGCCCACGAAAAAAAAAAAGGTTATTTCAGTTTTAGCGGATGATGGGAGAGCTTCTTATTACTTTCAGGACTCAAGCAGCGACATCTCTTCTCCAAGCTTCCATGCCTAACACTGATTATGAGAATGTCTCCATCTCCTACATACATTTTAATTTTCTTAACCTGAGACCTGAAAAGTAGAAACACCCAAGAAGCCAGCAGTTAAAACCCATCAGACTTTAAGATTATCACTTTTGGGTGGACTGGCCCTTTATATACACCTATATGTTTAAAAAAGCAAATAGATTGATAATACAAGAAAGCAGCTCACGTTCATTGCAGAAGTAGACAGAGGGACCATGTACAGGAGAGATCATAACAATGAATAAAAACAATTACATTGACTATAGCTGTTCCACAAAAAAAAGGTTTACAAAAAAGGTTTCACTGTCAAGAAGAGGGTAACACTTAACCCTTGCCATGCCACCAATCTTCGCTGCCTTCAAAACCCTACAATGGCTTTTGCATCAGACACACTTTTGGGTGTCAGATGCCTGTTCCCATGCTGCGGTTCCATCCGTTGACCGATTTGTCACAGTGTACTGTAGTGGAGGCCTGTGGGTGGAACCACAGAGTGCAGAGGATGACTGAGCTGACATCTTTGCTGGACCCTCTGGTCCTGATGCTAGCACTCTCATTTTATGTGCAGTGGCTGCGTACAAAGCATTATTAATTCTTTTAATGGCAAAATCATGCATTACATTTCTGGAGATAATATTCAAGTGACACTAAATTTGGGAGTCATATCTTAAAAATGCATTTAAGTACTTTCATTATTAAAAAATGTATCTTGTGTATTACTCGGCTATAGATCCTCAAATCATCTCTGAATTGGTGCTGACACTGTCCTACCTTCTGGAGGGGGGCTACTTTTGTTCTCCATGGTCCCTGTGTGTGTTGTAAAGTAGTCACCGCTCCAAGCTCACTTCTGTGATGGACCACAATCTCAACACAAACTAGTAAACGTAATGCTAGATTGTAGTCCATCACGGGAGTGAGCTTGGAGCGACCATGAGGAACAAAAGTAGCCCCCTCCGGAAGGGACAGCATCAGCACCAAGTGACCAATTCAGAGAGGATTTGAGGATCTACAGCCGAGTCATATAGAAATAAGATACATTTTGTTAATACCTAAAGTACTTGAATGCATTTTTAAGATATGACTGCTCAGTTTAGTGTCACCAGACAGTCCATGCCTGTAAATAACATCAACAGGTGTGTGATTATAAATGCACATTCATATTTCATTGTTACAGAGAACAATTTCAAGTGTCCCTTGACAGGTCATTCTCTTTAGCTATGTACAATTAGGGCCGATGCACAGATTCACATTGGAGCCAATGGAGGCTGTTCACACCTTTGCGATTTGTCGTGCAGACGAAATCATCTGTCACGCAAAAAGGTGCAGGAGCTATTTTCAGGCAGTTGTCGCGTGGTTTGGGTCCCATAGACATCTCTATGCATTGAATACCGCACGGTTTTCAAAGAACAGTCACACAAATGAAAATGTGCAAAAACCGCTCACCAGCTCCTTTGCATAGGTGTGAATCTAGCCTCAAGAGTGTCTGTGCTTCATAACAGCATCGTTATTGCCAAAAGAAAAAAGGTTCCCACCTCCAACCTCACCCCGGGGTATCATCAGGCAGCCTGGGCTCACAGGAGAATGATGTGGTACTGTTTACTGCAATATTTAGGACCGCCAGGGGATGGGTAGTGGCATCTCCTATATTCCTATTCTAATAAGTTGACTTAAAAACAGCACCACGGCTGAGCTTGTGATCCTTTTTAACCATACAGTTATTTCTGTACAGCACATGCAGCATTTTGGCAAGAAACAACGTCCACCTTCACAGACGGCTTGAAGAAATATTTAAAAGCTGGTGGGCTCAACAATCTAGCACACTCTGCCTTGAGTGATGTGAGAGGTCTATACAGGTTACAATCTGATTGTACAATCTTCTGTAGATCTACCAAGAGCAATGAAATACAAAGGCCTCTCGGACTGGATATAAAATGGAATGGAATTGTCAGGTAGGTCCAGACACTGCAAAAAACTTTGGTAAATCTAAAGGATTCTCTGAAAAGATTGTCATACTTTTTACCATTTGATTGCAAGTAGAAAGAAGAACCTTTCTTTGTTACGGTCTTTAGCTGTTCCCCTATTTCTTGTCATGATGTCAAAAGGGACAGCAAGTGACAGGAAATCCCCTCATTGGGAACACTGGACACAACAAAGACCTCAGTATAATTGTGATGCGAGGAGCACTGGATTAATCAATATGTTCTATATAATAATACTTCTATATTGAAGTTCCCTGGCAGCTCTGTTTTTCTAGGACTCTTGTACACGATCCTCAGAGAAACAAAGACGAGGTAGGGAATAGAAGCGCCACTCCACTTATAAAGTCCAGCATAAGATTTTATTTGAATTCATCAGGAGACACCAATGAGGTTGTAAGAGCCCCGCTGTTTAAGGTTAAATAAAGACAGAAGGATTGCCAAGTATCTAAAGCTGGTATTGAAGTATCTAAAAGTATTTTAGTTTGGGTAGTTTACTTTTTGCTCTAGATAAAGCGGAAGATGCAAATTGTTTTATTGCAGGGAGGTAGGGATTTTTGCATGCCTGTTCTGCAAAAAAAAATAAAAAATTATTTCTACCGCAGCGATTTTTAATATTTTGTGTACAGTGTTCACATTCTCTAAGATGCTGTGAATGGGCTGGGTGCCATGGAGGATGCAACTCCTGCATGTGCGTACCGGAGTTACATCCTTCCATCAGTGACCACCGAATGGCCGCTGAGAACTTCCAAGTGTCAGTGGCAGAGATGGCAGCAGTGGGGGAGAGTGCTGAGGACGGAAGATCGATCTGATGGCGCTGGAGAAGGGCACACTTGTAAAGGTAAGAGTGTATTGCTGTGCAAAAAAAAAAAAAAAAAAATTCAAAAAGCAGTTAACTTCCACTTTAAGAATGTTGAACTGGAGAGAAAAAGCAACTTTCCACAGGCCAAAATATCTGCTTTTATATACTTCATTCCTACTCGTATTTTATTCTTCCACCCTGAAGAAACCACCCAAAATGTAAACCCCCCTTTTTCCTAGTGAAATAAAATCTTATTCTGGACTTAAAGGAGAACTATGGGGTTAAGGCTTTTCCCCATAGTTATCCTTAGGGTAACAGGAGGACACAAACTAGTGTCCTCCCGTCACCCTAGGCTCAAGTATACCGCAGCTGAAGCGGATCCCGACAATTATGTTTGGATCCGCCCAGCTGCGTGAGTGACAGCTTGCTCTGCCTATCTAGAGGCAGAGCCAGCTGTACCCGCCCCCTCCCCATACACTGTACGTCGTCAGTCACGAAGGGGTTAATAAAAGATTGGTTCTTCTATTCCCTACCTTGCCTGCAAGCAACAAAGATCTGAGAGTCCTAACTTGTTCTCTCTAATCCAAGAAAAAAAAATCCAGTTAGGCCTTAATGTTGAATACAGCAAGAAAAAGATTTAAACACAACATGCAGTGTTCTTCACTGGGGGGGAAAAAAGTAAAAAAAATGAAATATTAATTGTTTCTATCTACTTCCTCCGTGTCCCATTTCAGGTGTCAGTCAGATGTCAGAAAGAGGGAGAAGCAGGTGCACTGCCCAAAAATCAATGGGCTCGATAGCTTGCTTTGTTCAGGCACATTCTAACACACCTTCTGCTGTTTCGTCCTGTTTACACACCCTCTTGACAGGGTAATTGAGGCCTCTCGATTGGATAATATATAACACTGCGTGACAGGTTTCAATGGGCACCCTTACCTGCAGCAAAAATTTGTAGTATATACTCAATTATTTATACACTTTGTTTCCTCTTTCTCTTAGTGATAGAGAAAATGAAAGTTAAATTGCATGCAAGTAATGTGAAGCCTCGTTTTATCTCAGAGCTAAGAGTGTGGAAGAGACTTTGCATTATTTTCTATTAATATGGCTGCATCTTAAAGTGCATGTGAGAGTAAAATAAAAACAAATTCAGCACATTACTGCAAAGCAAGCACGTTCCCACATTTTATCCCTTTAAAAATGCTGCCAGTGCAGAAAAATATATACGCAGATGCTGCCAAAATCCAGTGAGCTGCCAATGCTCCCTTTTGCTGCACTGAAATCTCATGCAATGTTGTCAGCCCTGTCTAGTTCTTTTCAGCTAAGCTACAGAGAACCTTGCCCTTATGTTATAGCAGAGGGGGGGAGGTATGGTATGCTGCCCAGCAGAAGAGAACTGGACAGGGTGCAGAGGCAGTGTTGTCAACTCACTGGATTTATGGCAGGATTGACAGGTATTTGTCTGTACTTGCTGCATTTTTAAACTGGAAACCAAAAAGGGAAATGTACATGTATTGCAGAAATATACCAATGTTTTTTTTATTTTGACCAGGCCTATACTAACATACCTAATTTATTAAAACGATGCAAACTTTAAGGTCTTAGTCATTCCATTAACACAAACATGATGTTTGCGATGGTCACAAAAATGTGACAGGATTAAGAATGAGGTGTCATTAAAACTTACAGGTCTATCCTGCTTTTCAGAACTGCTCTGTAACCTGGTGTGCGGAAAACTGCAAGAAAAGTCCTGGAAGATGCCTAATGTAGGACTGGTCTAACCATTTTGTGTTCGACCACTAGCATACTTGCCAACATATAAGTCCCAAGGACACTGACACCCCCCCTCCCCCCTCCCATGGTCCACACTTGACAGTCCCACCCAGATCATGCCCCCTCTCTGGAAGGTTCCTGCATATTTAAGGCCACAATCCCCCCCAGTTAACACCTTTGAGTTACCGTGAATGCTAAATAACTCAAATAAGGGTCGTGATGTGATCTCTGGCCACAGCATCATCGGAACAGAGGACCGAGATGAGGAACTGTTAGGGCACCCCAGGACAGCTGACCTCTATGCCAATAGCTGTATTGGTGAGGAATGTTTAAACAAAACTTTTCCATCTTGAAGGTTGCCACCTTGAACTGTATTTAATCATTTCAAATAAAAATCAGGGCCAACTTGTTTGAAATCTCAAGAGAAATTAAATGGTGATGTCAGTTTTATATCTCTATAAAATTCTTATACAACTAGTATATAAAAACTATAGTGCTATAGTATATAACTAGCACACAAAAGAGTATTTGGGGTGCACTGAACAACTTTCGTCATCTAGTGCCATATCAAAGTCAAAGGACTTTACACCGAGTAGCATTGTTTATGGGATTTCATATTTGAGAAAAGCTTAATGAAATGAAGACAAAATAATAGGATGCCAACGCTTGGAGAAATTAAACGATCATCGTAAGTGACATCAACGTGAGCATCCTCAAACTGTAAGGGACAGAGTATAAAGGGGGGTGCTATATTAATCTGTCTGTACACATACTCAAATGGTTGTACTTCTAACCCACAGCAAATTCCCCTTAGTCTCCTCACCTTAGAAAGAGCAGCCACTCGCTGTGCCAATTCCGCCTCCACCTCAGGCAAGGTTTCTGCTTTCCGTATCGTTTGTTGAAGTTTCTGTTCAGCCAACTCGAAACGCTCCTGGATCTGCCGATTCTTTTCTTCACTCTGGGAATATCACCATGGTTTAAGTGTGGGAATTTTATAAATCTTACCAATCTGAAAACTCTAGTGCCCAGGGAATGAACAAGCACACAGAAAAAGCCACTAAAATGTATCTATATCCTACATGGCTTTGAATGGGCTGCCATATATGCCATTTACAGTAAATTCTCCTTTCCACCATAGAAGGTCCACTCTTTACATTTGCACCCCCTTGGATATTCGTTTTAAAGGGCAAGTTCACTTTTCCAAGTGAATTTGGGAAAATGGAATTGCACATTTAAATCTGGGCCCCTCTTGACAACTCCCCATTCTCGAAACCCCCCTATAAACTTACTTACCAGGGAACACTCAGTCTCCTTAGCTGGTATGGGTGTACTAACTTACCCCATTCTGCCATGTAGCGCAGCCTTACGCTATGAATTTGGAATTTTGTTCACAAATGGAGAGCACTCATTGGTCAGCGCAGGTGGAGGGAGGGCCAGATTTGAGCGAGTAATGCCATTTTTCCAAATTTAGTTGGGAAAGGGAACTTGCCTTTCAGGCCTCATTCCAAAGAGAAAAAGCCGTCACGTACAGCTCCGTGATGCGCGCATGGCCATATCGGGCCACTCTCGGGAACGACAGGTGCTATGTGTGATTAGATATGTGTCCTTCGATGCGGCTGTATGCCGCCCTACGCTCACCCACCATGCACGTCCGTACGGGTGTCTGTATTCGTACGCTGACAGGAGGGATCCTGTCTGTGTCCAAGCCGGGACACCTGCACCCGTACGGGAGCGCCCCGATATGACCATGCACGTTTTTTCTTGTGTGAATGAGGCCTTAAAAAACGGTGGCAAGATGGAAAAAAAAAATCATCAACTTTTCCCATCTTCTGTCTGCTGCCTCTACGATATCATCCTTCTCATTGAGAGATTTAGGGAATGTAGAGTACTTTATATCTCTCCGAAAAGATGCATCAAGCATTGTGCTGGAGGACCTTCTCTCGCTTTTTGGAGTACTCGCAAATCCCTGGGATCTCGTAGGAAGTTGACAATGACATTACCTACCCCACAGAAGCCAGAGAAAAGTAAAGGGAACCAGAGGGAGTAGAATATCCTCTCTCTCCTGTACAGGCATTTTGTATAACTTTATTTACAGTGTGTCAGCAATGAGGAGGAGCGGCAAAGGTAAACACTGGACCTTGTATGTATAGTGCAAGGTCCGCTTTAACGGTAACTGATCAGGTATACTAAGATGTATAGCCAAAGCCAGATACTCTGCACTACACCACATAAAAAGGCTCAACTGACAAAGCTTTAGCTGAAGGATATAAATCTTCAAGGTCATCCATGCGACTAATTTTCTAATCATTGAAAAAAGCCCAAAATAACAGACAATAAGCATCCTCATCCTTTTGTGTGAACTGAACCTAAAATGTGTTTTCTTTATAAATCAATGAATATTAAGTGGTTTTATTTTTGTCAAGGTTTGAAAACCAGAAGAGAAATTGTACAAGCTGTTATGTGCAACACTCCACTCCCCAATCTTCTTTTATACCAGTTTTTATATCAGACTGACAAATTCCCTTCAGCAGCACAACCTGTTCTACTGTAGTTAAATACAATGAATAGTCTTTTGTATTGTAACTCTTCAAGAAAACAGCAGATGATAAAAGAGGAATGCTAAGAGTTATGAACATGTAATGCAGACCTATACGTAAATGTTCGCTTGAACATTTGCCTTTCCAGAACTCCCTATGATGCAGGATATGTGATCAAAAGCCTAGGCATTTGGTCACGAAAAGATTCACACTTTGTTAAAAACTAATATATATATATATAAGATTCCTGCCAAGTCAGAACAAAGAGATCACTACAGAATGTCGCTGTGTGTCTGTAGATGTATATATATATATATACACATATACATATACACATACACACATATATATATATATATACATACATATACACACACACATATTGTGACAGAACCCAAGGCATGATAATAGAGGGTGTCTATATTTCCCCCAACGGTGCTCCACTCCACAGTTTGCGTGTAACACAGCGGGTAAGGGAGCCGGTCAGGAATATCGGTCTGGCCAGGCCCTCACCTGTACTTAATGAGCAGCACCAAGTAGTCTGAGGGCCCACCTCACACCATACCCGGATCATGTCCAGATCAGACCAGATGGTTTCCGGACCCAAAATGCATCCTAATGTATCCCTAAGCTATTTCTGGCATCTGTTCACACCAGCGCAGTCAGTTCCAGATCAGACCAGAAAAATACTGCTGGTCTTATTTTGGCTGGTCTGGAATGCACTGGAACCCATAAAAATGCATACAAATGCACAGAAACGCACCTGTATGACCATTTAAAGCCAAGAGAAAAAAAATTCCAAATGCAGCAAAATCGTACTAAAAACGCGGCAAAACACAATGCTCTGCATTCCAGATCTGGTCCGGAAAATGGTGTGAACCTGACCTGAAAGAGATAGCTGGAGAGTGAAGAGACCAGACCAGCAGTAGTAAGGGAATACTGCAACACTTTTTTAGTGACTGACAGGATTTATCTAAAAAGACTAAAACTTAATTTGAAAGGCCGGTGCATCCATTTGTTTTCCTTACGAAGAAGCAAAGTTATAGAGTTGAGTTGTGCCTTTCTGAAAGCAGTCAGTAGAGCAAGGACTTTGTTTGCTTAGGCTTATTTTGCCTGTCGTGCCAGACCTATTAATAAAAAGGCAAATGGACTTTATTTTGAACAAATTGCATCGTTGTGTGATGTCTCCAACCTTGAATACTATGTGGTTAAAGATCCCAGGTCACATAATATATACATACTGTATATGCATAAGCAATTTTAATCTAAGTTTATTTGTTTATTTCAAAATATTACCTCGCTATTAGCTTTAATCTGCAGCCAGCTGACAAATGTTTAACATCCCTTGCTTTTAAACAAGCCATCTGGCAGGATTCTGTACACTGTAATCATACAGAATGCCCACAGAAATATAATTTCCTCGTGTGGACTAGGGATGCACCTATACCGATACCAAGTATTTGGGCAAGTACTCGTACTTCACGGCCAATCAGCAACGATCAAGCCAAACAGCATTGAGTCGGCTCTATGCCGATTGGCCAAAAAGCTGGCTTCCCAGTCAAACAGCATCGAGCAAGCCAAACAGCATGGAGCCGGCTTCCCGGGCAATCAAGAAGCAGTGCAGCAGGTAATGACACCAGTATCGGTACTCCGTATCGGCGAGTACCAAAATATAAATATCGGTACTTGTACTCGATACCGAAAAAACGGTATCGGTGCATCCCTAGTGTGGACTCAATTGTCTAGGTTTTTTGAAAAGTGATCAGCACAATAGGGAGCCTGAAGCAGCATTTTTTTCAATGAAAGGGAAGTATTTCAGCATCCAGCGAGACACTGCTAGGAACCTGGTAGAGCAATTATCAATTCCAGACCAGAAGGAACAGATGCTACAAGAGGAATGTGTACAATCAATCTTCTACAATGAACCAGGAGAATTCTAAGTGGTCCTACTGCCTAGGTGGTCACCGAGCTACAGCTAAGCCCTCATGGTTTTTCTGCTTACAGTCCTATCCTTCCGGGGTAAGAGTGTTTCCCCTAGACCTAAACCTTTACTATTCTATGCATTTTGTCCAGCTAAACTTGGTTTTAGGTTACCATATGGTACACTTCTGCTTTAAGCAACACCAATGAAAACAGAAATCAAATACACATAAGCCTACTTTCAAACTTCCAAGTACAAACTCATAAAATATTACCTGTCTTAGTGAGGATTCTTTATTAGCGATTTCGTTTTCAAGTTTGTCATTGAGGTCGTGCACAGATGTGGCTTCACGCTGTGCGGCGAGGTAGCGTTTTTCAAGAGTCGTTATTCTCTCCTCCATGTCTTCCTTCTGAGCCATGGCCTATATTACAGACAGAATTATAACACTAGGCTCTATACATGGCAGGAGCCAAGTAGCTATGGGTGAGTAGCAGAGCACAAACCTAAGCAAAATACATAGCCAAGAAAGCCTTTGAGGTCCTGTGTATCTTATTGTACTATGACAATTTTAGATTCTTTCCGATATTTGTTGGGAGGGGATTCTCCAGTCCTTATCCCTACTCTCCCCCACCACACATTTTAGCAGATATCCTTCCTTATCTGGCTCCATGATGGTTCCAAGTTTACATCAAGTAAAGCAATTTGTAAAAGTTTATTTTTCATAGCTGTATAAAATTTTATTTAAAATGAAGATGAATGTACATTTGTGAAACGTGTTAGGTCAATCCCCTCCAACTACCTGTACTGAAATGAGATGTGAAATATACTTTGGAATATGGATTGATATTTATGCTGTCTCATCTGTATATACTATTTGATGTGGATATATCTGCAGACAGGGGCATAAGTAGAAATCACAGGGCCCCATAGCAAAGTTTTGTATGGGGCCCTTTTGATCTCTAGTTACATCCCTTGCTGAGCCCAATTGAAAACCCCCACAGCCCACCCGAGGGTGAACCTGCAGAGCCCACCATAGACTCCCTAAGGTGGGCTCTGCAGGGTCACCCTCAGGTGGGCTGGTCACACTCCTTACCTGTCCGCCTCCTCTTCCTCCCCCGTCGGTGATGAGCCCCGCCTCCTCTGGCCATTTGGCATGTTTTTTTAATGTTTTACTTTTTAGATTATATTAGTTAAAGGAGAACTATGAGATGTGATGTGAACACATACCAGGTTCGCTCACCTCTCGATCCTGTCACGGCTCTCTGCCGTGACAGGGGGAGGGGCTGGATTCCCCTCTCCCCGCTCCGATCTGCCAGCGCTGATTGGCGGAACGGACGGGGGAGGGGGCGGGTACAGCTGGCTCTGCCTCTAGATAGGCAGAGCCAGCTGTCACTCACGCAGCTGGGCGGATCCCGTCATCTACGTCGGGATCCGCTCCGGCGTCTCAGTATACCGCGAGCTGTAGCTCGCGGTATACTGAGCTTAGGGTAACGGGAGGACGCTAGTTTGTGTCCTCCCGTTACCCTGAGAACTATGGGGAAAAACACTGACCCCATAGTTCTCCTTTAAATGTATTATATTTAAAATTGTTGCAGGACACATATTCTGTAATACCTTCTGATTATGTGTCACCCGACACAAAGCAATGTGCCTGACGTCTTTTGCATTTATTACAGCCAGCCATTATTTCCTCCTATCATAACTATCCTCTTCTATTCCGCCACAAGGAAAGCTGTCCACTCACCTCTCGTACGTCCCGCTGTAGTTTGGTGTTCATCTCTTCTGATTTAATGAGATCTTTCCTTGCGGTGTCGAGATCTTCCTCGAGCTCAGTGACCCGGTTGGACAGGACAGCCAGGCGTTCTTTCATCTGGCTCTGCTCCTTGGCTTGTTTATCGATCACATCCTGGAGCTCCATCACCTTCGACAGATCCTCGTGATTTAAAGAATCATCGGATGATCTCTGTCATAGAAACAAAATTTTGACAGCATCTGCCTCATGGAATTCAAACAATCATATGACAAATATATAACATTGGAGTGCACGCTCTCAGTCCTGAACTACTATAAAAAATAAATAAATGGCCTTTAAACCATTTTGATTTGCATTGAAGTGATAACTGCAGACTTTTTTCCTTTACAATGGATGGAATGAAACAGAACTCAAAGCCTTCCGTAGCATCCATTCACTTTATTTCCCAATAGCAAATAACAGATCTTCACATTATGTGAAAATCTAGATTCAACTTGATTGAAGGATAACAGAAAACTAAAAAGATTATTATTACTTTTCCACAGACATGCTAATTGCACAAAATCCACATCTAACGCTGGCTGAACTCTAGACCTCACCTTCCCATTAGTGTTTGGTTCATTGTCTTGATCGTGGTTCTGGTCCCTGGTCCCATCATTATAGATCTTCTTTTGATTGTTCTGTTCTCGAGCGATCATAAGCTGCCGAGGTGAAGCACGGTTAAATTAGTAGAGCCATTTCAGCGGCAACTAAAAAGTCTTGCTGTCAAAAAGGAAGGCACTGAAGACTGTGAGGTCAGAAGCGCAACTCACCTCTTTGTGTGTTACCCCCAGCTCTTCTTCCAACAAGCTACATCTCTCCAGAGCCACTCGTAACCGTTCTCTCACCTAAAACACAGGATACTGGCTTCAGGATTACAGATGTCAGTCATTACATATTGTAGCGACTAGTTTGGGAAGGCAAACACTGTACATTGAGCCTCCCATAATCTATTTCAGTAACGCATATTCTAGGCTACCACCTGTCGTAAGAACACAGCAGATGCAGCCACATAATAGATCACCGTTTCTCCACCAGTGGAATGTGTAACACCGGGACAGACTACTGCCTTTTGGAGGAAATTCATCAATACAATAGGAAGATTAAATTAATGAGATATTGCAGATACAACAAAACACATCAGCAATTCTGATAATGACAAAATAGGAGGTAAGACTGAAAAAAAATGTAAGTGAATAGAGAGGAGGGCGGGGGAACACCGGCCGAGCCCGTCTTGCTCCAGCATCAGCAGTTACTCACTGCAGGTTTCACATAGAAATGTTATTGTAGCACACAGGTATATGACTAAGCCCATTATTGGGTGAAACACGTCAAAGTCAGGAGGGTCGATGGCAGGACAATGTGTACCTGGGCGCTACAATAATATTTTTCAGCGAAGTTTAAGGTGTGTGACCAGACTTTTTTGTGAGTAACTGCTGATGCTGGAGATTTACTAAGTTTAGTACTAAAGCCGAGCTCCAGGCTGTTTTATAAAATTTGAATCATATTTCCAGTCCCTATACACATAGCAAAGGCACAAATATTGATTTGAATACAACCGAGTTTGTGTTATTTACCTTTATAAATCTCTGATGTCATCACTTCTTATGTGAAACCGCAGCTATCCTCTGGCACCTGGAAGCAGTATTCAGGAAGCAGCAACGTCACTTCCTGTCAGTGTACAGGGCTACTTAAATAAACCACAATTCCCATCATGTAATGGGAATTGAAGAGGCAATAGGTGTGAAGGTGGGGGGACAATGGGTGTGAATGTAGACCGGGTTTCAAAGAGCTTTAGTATGTGAGGCAACCTTGGTCAGGGCAGACCAGGAGTCTCCTAGCCTGTCAAACAACACTACAGTACGCGGCAACGTAATTACACTCGCTTATGAGGGGCTACCCAGGGGATGTTACAAGACCGGCGACCCAGGAAAAAAAAAAAAGGAGCATAGCCGCAACAGAGCTTATGAAACAGAAATAAAAGGAGAATGATCACCTATTATACAGGATTCAAGGAGAATTATGAGGTGAGTGATTTTCACTCGTCCTCATAGTTCTAGCCGACCTGTGACAATGAAACTGTCCCAGGTCGGCTCTGTAGATCGGGAAGTGAGCGAACACATACCGGCGCTCACTCACTTCTCAATCCTGTGCTGGCAGAGAGTCATGACAGGGGAGGGACTGTATTATCCCCTCCCCTGTACGATCCTCCAGCGCTGACTGGCGGAACGGACAGGGGAGAGGGCGGGTACAGCTGGCTCTGCCTTTAGATTGGCAGAGCCGCTATCACTAACGCAGCTGGTTGGATACACGCAGCTGCGGTATCTCAGTATACCGCGAGCTGTAGCTCGCGGTATACCGAGCTTTGGGTTGACGGGAGGACGCTAGTTTGTGTCCGCCCGTTACCCTTAGGAGAACTATGGGGAAAAGCCCTAACCCCATAGTTCTCTTTTAAAAGGTGGGATTTATTAGTGGGTCAATGAGTGCAATAAAAAAAAACAAAAACAAAAAAAACACACACATGAAGATACTGCTTAAAAGAAATGACCTATCCAAATATGAGAAGAGTTCTGCCTGGAGTTCAGTTTTTGTGATCCTTAAAGAACTCTGAGAAAATCTAAAACTTACCCTTGCAGTGGGGCTACTGCTGAACTTCAAGGGTTAAATGCTCATTTTTAGAGAGCGCAAATAAAAGCAGTTTTGCTCCCCTAAACCTCAGTCCTCCGTTCCGGGCTATAGAATTTGCGTTGGCGCCCTTACTTCCTTATGCAGGTCAATGGTCCTGCATCAGACATAATGACATCAGTAGTCCTTAGACTGCCGGAGGCCAGGGTAGAGGAGGCTGCGGGGACCACTCTTGCAGACCATCACGTAAGTAAATCTGCTTTGTGTCCCCCTAGACAAAATGAGCACTTAACCCTTCCAGGGCAGGGGTAGCCCCACTACAAGGGTAAGTTTTTGATTTACCCGGTGTTCCTCTTTAACACATTTGAACATTCTCTCCCTAAAACGATTCCCCTCCACTCAGCTAAAGCATACCGCCCCAGCTGTCACCCATCTGATCAGAGCAGCAGGCATATACAATGTCACAGGAAGAATACAGAACGCTGTCACTCTCAAACTAGTTTTTCAGCTTCATTAAAGTATAAACTAGGCTAAGTCACACGCGTGTGGCTCTTGGGGGATCAGCCACACTCATTACCTTTTCATCTAAAGCTTTGTGATGTTCAAACAGGGACTTCAGAGCTTTCAAAACTTCGACTTCACTCGACACTCCGGCTGGAGACTGAGCCTGCCGCTTCACCACCGTCATTCGCAGGGAGCGCTCATGCCGTGAAACCAGACACTCCAGATGTTCTAAGAGGAGCTGGAGAGAACACCACACAATGAGGACAAACCACAGAATTTCTACATCTGCCCTGCGTAGTATTAACAGCTAATAAGGAACAGAGAACAAGCTGGAAATATTAGATTGGTTTTCATTTTCACAATGTCTCGGATTTTTGTCCATTGGTGGTAATCATCCAATAGTGACAATATATCCATAAACTGAATATAACGGGTTAGAAAACTAAAAAAAGTGAAAGTGCAGATCAGATAAAGTATTACTAAAAGCAAAGTTCATGGTTTCAAGTCACACTGATATTTAGGGTGCAACATGGTAAAATTGCAGACCCCACTTCCACCAAGCCTGCCCCCCTTCCTGGATCGTGGCATTCTTCTTGCCGCAGGCTGTTGCTGGTGTTTGAAATTGGTGCAGCTATGCGTGGCTCCCCCACACAACCACGTCACCTATTCACAGATCATTTGACAGCCATTACGGCAGAGGGACTTGTAGTTCTCAAAAGGGATACACGTGTGATGACATCACCACACTTGTAGTCCAATGATTCTTTTTCCCATCCATGTTACTAAATGAATAGACATTGACAGGAGGAAGAGTGTGCAGGAGCCAGAGCATTGCACCCACGATCTACTGATTGCGGGTGCAATGCTTTGAAGAAGAGCTCTGGTAGTTCGGTGGGCTACCCCCAAACTGCAAGGGTTAAGCTCACTTGATCATCCAAGCTGGCTGGCTCTTAGACCGGTCCCTAGAGCGTCACTCTCCCCTGTTCTGCAGTGGTTTAGGGTCCCGGAGTCATCATATATACAGCGTATTAGGACCTGAGGATGCAGAGTGACATTCCATCACTGCAGCGGAGGAAGAGACAGGAGGAAGGGAGCGGAGTGACAGTGAGCTGGCTCCGAGGATCCAGCGAGTATAACTATTTTATTTTAAACTAGGAAAAAACAAACAAGCACCTAAACCTTGCAGTGCGGGGGTAGCCCCATTGCAAGGGTAATAATATTTTTAACTGGAGTTGTTCTTTAAAAAGAGAATTATGGGGAGATTGAGACGCTCTCGTCCCCATAATTAGAACGGACGTGTCAAACTGACTGTATTGATCGGGAACTGAGAGATCGCACACTGTCAAATCGCAAAGTTCCCGATCATCTCCAAGCAGAGAGCGATGACTGTCACTTACCGCTCCCTGCAGGGATTCCCCGCTGTTTCTGCAGTGCTGACTGGAGGGACTGGGAGGGGGCGGACACAGCTGGCTCTGCTTAGAGAGGCAGAGCCAGCTGTCAAATCAGGCAGCGGGGTGGATCCCGACAATATTGTTGGGATCTGTTCCGGCTGCAGCGCAGGTCTGAGCTGTCAGCATATAGCAGACAATGGCCCGCTATATGCCGTGTTTCGAGTCACAGGAGGACATTAGTAACGGTCCTCATGTGACCGTAAAGAGAACTTGGGAGGGAAAAAAAGTTAGGGCCATATTCCTCTTTTAAAAAGGAGAGGTTCACCTTTTGCAAACATTAAAAAAAAATGCATATTTTAATAGTATGAAAAAAAAATGCATTCATTTAATTTTTCCATTGAAGCCTGGAGAGCATTGCAATCATCATCAATAGATCATGGCTGCAAAGCTCAGGCTAATACACAGCTGCCAGCCAGGCAGCCCTCCGTCCCGAAGGTACGGAATTTCAGTTATAAGATAAGGAAGGACGGCTGGTCTACAAAGTGCATTACATCACCTTGTACAGCATCTTGCCGCCCTCCCACAGGTTACATACATGGACAATGGTGTTGATGGGACATGAAGTCCAGTAGGAACATAGATCCCGGGAATGAATGATTTGGCTGTGTGGGAGGAGCCCCGCACAGCCACGTAAAATTTGAAAAATCAGCAAGAATGAAAGTGAAAGAAGCTTTTATTAAGCATGCTATGCAAAATCACTTTAGGTACGCATGTATGCTGTCATGTTGCATGTTACACCCTAAATATGGGTGTAACATGAAACTTGGAGGAAAAGGTGAACTTAGGCTTTACAGTAACTGACAGCAGTTTTAACCCTCCCCTACTCTATTTAAAAATGGGCTTTGGCCCATTTAATATCTAAACCCCATTTCTTTTTTACGTTTTTGATTAAAGGGTTATTAAACCCTCACATGTTTTTGCATATAAGACAACTCTTTCAAAAAGAGTCTCTGCCGCGCGCTCCTGTCCGAACATCTGAAAATTTAAATTGGGCAGCTGCAAAGGATCTTGGGGCGGGGGCATGCGCAGTTTAGATGTTCGGCCGGGAGACGAGGAGAGACACAAGGTAAGTCTATGGAGCAGTGTGCACCCGCACAGACTCCTTGGGACATGAGAGAAGCGGAGGACAGAGGAGTCAGCGCTGGATCGGAGACCCGCACCAGCGCTGGAGGGACATCTGAAAACTACACTAAAGAAGAAACTGAAACGGATTAAGAGACATCATTTAAGGTAAGTCCCTGCACTAACATTGGGGGGAGGGAAAAAAAAAATATGCTTTAATAATCACTTTAAGAGCTTATGCACATGGCAGTAAATGGCCCTACAGTGTACAATATGGCTGTATATTCTCTGCAGAGAGTGACAGGGGATAGCGTACAGCCACCATGTACAAATCAATGGCAAGACCTACCTAATCTATCCAAATGAATTTGTATCCACTCACACTGGTTTTTGCACTAGATATTTGTTGGTTGATCTAAAAGAAGATTGTACAAAGCTGGCCCTAGCTACTGTGAGTGCTAACGCACGGGGAAATATCAAGAGCATATAGCAAGAGTTTCAGGTACTTTTTCCAACTGTATCTACAAAAGGTAATTTTGTTTTTCCTTTATATTTTTTTTCCCAGCTGGAAAATGTTTGGTGCTCTCCAGTATATGTACCCGACACACTTACCCGAGTATTGTTTCTCTCAGCCTTCAGCTCGGCTATTTCTTCTTCCCGTTCCAGAAGCTGCTCCCGGCATATATTGAGCTCCTTAGTAAGTGCTGCAAACTCCTTCAGAAAGAAAGAAGAAAAAAAAAAAACATTTAATAAAATCACTTCAGAATCCCCAATGCAGCTCTAATGTAATTCACTTCTTCCAATATTCTACCAGTGCTGATATAATAGATTACAGTTTCCTCTCCCTGTTAAGATATGAAAAGAGATCAGAAGTGCTTCAGGGAAACCGATCAGTTATTTTTATTGAGAGTATATTTTGAGTCATCATTGTTGTTTTGTTCACCATAAAGTAATTTGATGCGGCTTCCAAATTTTTATACTCTTTGCTATATCATGTTGTCTTTATTGTGTTACAAAATATACTTCCCCATTAGCTGGTACCTGCATTTTACTTCAGTCATTTTTCTGCCTTGATTAACAAGTGACAAAATAAAAATCACAGCCGTATAAAAAGGGAAATAAAAAAGCACATAGTGTTATAGTTACCCGCCTGGCATTGAGGAAGAGGAACAATAAAGCGCAATGATTACACAGCATTAGAAAGAAGAAAGCAGAGTCTGCAGAGGTAATACGTGTCTATGGCTGCTCCAATGTACACAATTTACAAACTATTAACTATTTTTTAATTTTTAACATTAATTACACATATTAGGGATGCACCGACACTAGTATCGGTACTGGTGCCGAGTACTCGTACTCGCCCAAATGTTCTGATGCCTAGCACGATACTTCTTGTATCAGGAAGCCAGGCGCCGTGTTATGACACGGCGCCCGGCTTCCTGATTGGTTGGGAAGCTTGCGAGGGAGCATGGTGCTGGCTTCACGGTAGAGCTGCAGCTAACGATTATTTTCAAAATCGATTAGTTAGCCGATTATTGAGTTCGGTTAATCGGATAAACAATTAAAATAAAGTTTAAAAAATTGCTCCAGTGATGGGACTACTAGTTTGTATTGAGGTTGTAGTCCATCACAGGAGCAAGCTTGGAGCGGTGGAAGTAAAAAAGAAAAAAAAGTAGTGTGGAGGTCAATCCTGGCTTCCTTAAATGGGACTTCCGGTATCGGTATTGGAGAGTACCGAAAAAAATAATAATAATATATCGGTACTTGGTACCAAAATACCGGTATCGATGCATCCCTAACACATATATGCAGATTATTTATGTTAAAGGCATATTAAAGTAAAAAGGGTTTTAAGCTATTTCATAAGCCGATTAAATCCCCGACAATGGATGTCTCTCTTTGATGTCTAAGGCCTTGTTCACACCAAGCGCGGAGCAGATCCGGACCAGAGCAGGTGCAGACCGGATCAAAACTGCGTCCAATGTATTCCTATGGTATTTTGACCTCCAGTTCACATTGCAGCGTGCGGATCCAGACCAGATGAAAAAACTGCGGCAAGCCCCATTTTACCTGCTCTGGATCTGGTCTGGAACGCATCTAAAATGCATGCAAGTGCCTGAAAGCCCATGTTAAACTTAATTTTTTTTTTTTAACCAAAACCGGCCCTAAACGCATCAAAAACGCGTCTAAAACACGGCACAACCCACTGCACTGCGTGTGCAGAAACCTGACCGGATCTGGTCTGCATTTGGTGTGAACTTCCTTCTACAAGCTAGAAGATGGGCGGCTGCTGGAGACTGCTCTGTCCCTTGTGATCTTGCACTGACAGGAAGTTCAGGGAAGCTGATCTGAGAGAGTTAGAGCGGTTCAGAAACACGATGAGTGCTTGGGCAAAATTGTAACAAAATACTTTGCTATGCAATGTATATTTTTTTGATCTGGATGCATTATTGGAAAAAAAGTATGACAGCTTATTACTACTTTAGGTCACGTTTTTTGATGTGACTACAAATAAAAGGCCTATAGTTTACTTTACAGTGAACATTTACATAATAAAAAAAAAAAAAAAAGTGAAACTAGTTTTAAAGATTCACACAATGGATAGTTTTCTGTCCCTAGTCAAGATTTATTTTACCAAAATTGAAAAGGATGAAAATGTTGACAGTAAACTATAGTCTTTATTTGTAGTCACATCAAAAGTGACAAAGTAGTATTAAAGTGACACTAATCTCAGGAGATAAATCTTAAAAATACATACGAGTACCTTAACTATTAACAAAAATGTATCTTATTTGTGTATCACTCGGCTGTAGATCCTCAAATCATCTCTGAATTGGTGCTGACACTGTCCTTCCTTCTGGAAGGGGGGGGGCTACTTTTGTTCCACATGGTCCCTGTGTGTTTTGTAAAGTAGTCACCAATCCAAGCTGGTAATAGCTAAGATACATTTTTAAGGTTTAAAAAGTGTCACTTTGAACTAAAAAGTTTGTTCCAATACATTGCTCACCTATTGTGCAGTACCGGGCGCTAGATACGTTGCAATGCTATTCATTTCAATAGTGGGAAGAAAAAAAAAAGTAGTGCATGTGCTACGTTTTCTAACCAAAATGTAAGGCTAGGTTCACATCTAGCGATACAGATGCCGAGCTGTTTTCACACGACTGTTCATTGAAAACCATGCGGTTATCGTGTGGTTTTCAATGCATAGAGATGTCTATGGGACCCCAAACTGTGCGACAACCGCTCGAAAATAGCTCCTGCACCTTTTCGTGTGACAGGCAATTTCGTCCGCGCGACAAACCGCAAAAGGTGTGAACAGACTCCAATGTGAATCTGTGTTTTGTGTGATAAATCCCCTAGGTGTGAACCTAGTCTTAGGGACTGTGGTATTGTGTATGGCAGCACCCAAATTAATTAGCATTCAAATGAATGGCAACCCAAGCACAACTAGTGCACAGTACCAAATGCTAGGTGTGTTGAGTAGTAGCATGCGCTCTGGTGTGAATGGGCCTAGGTGCCAGCCGAATTTTTCTCTAGTGCACTGGCTACATGGCTCCTGGGATTTGTTCAGTCCTGAGATCAGCTTAACTGCCTTGTTGTTTTCTCTATATTCTTCACACAGCCAGAAGTTATTTGAAGGGTGTTTGCATTTCCTGTAGGCAGTGGGATGCTACATGTGGTGAGTGTGGGTTATAGGGACATCACAAAATTATTAAAAAACAATGATAATGAAACCAAAAACAGGGCCGAGCAAATTCCAGGAGCGAGAAGACCAACGCCTATGGCCTCCAGGACTGTACTAACTGGTACTTTTTTTATAGCAAATTTTTCCATTACTACTAATAACTGTACACAACCCAATAAACACCTCTGGTGGAAGTCACCATGATGGTTTAACAGCTTCACCTTTCAACCGTAGCTGTAAATTCCTCGCCGTCTCGGGCTGGTTAATGATTACAAAGATCAATATCGAATCTTAATGGCTGTAAGTCAGCAGATATCTTCCCACTTGAAAATACTCGAGGGACAAAACTGGGACAAAACTGTTTCATATTAACATGTAGATACAGAGGGCCCGGGGTTTGTGTATCCATGTGACTAAAACAAACTGTAACTACAGAAAAGGAATGACAATCTGTCTTGCTCCAGAGTTCATTTCTTGCAGACCGAACTGCAGGGCAACACCAGAGTATAGGAAAGGAATTCCAGGAGACAACGCGGGGCCAGTGACCTTTCAGCCCCGGTTCTGTACGTACACCGCAATAGAGGATGGGCTGCAGCTGACGCCAAGCGAGGCTTACAGGCCACGGCATGGGAAAAGTACCAACGTGATGAGTTTGGCAGAAAGAAAAAAGGACGTACCTCTGGATAAATCCTTTCTAACAAGACATGCAAAGTGCAAGACCCTAGATTCCGCTAATCCGAAATCCTAATAAAGAGTTTACAGCGGCTTAAAAGGAAAAACACACTCCGCAGTCTAATGGCAGTTTTAGTCTTTGAAGCATAAAATGAATCGGGAAGAAAAAGGATGAGCTAACAAAGTACCAATCTTTCCTCATATTGCAGCATGTAACTTTACAAAACATTTGACAAACGAGATATTGTACGCTCACAACAATTGTTCCATTATGACTGTAGATGTGTTTGATACCTAGAATCATTTGTGAGCAGAACATCACAGAAGGAAGCCATTGATACCTACTCTTAAAGTGTAAGTAAAGCAGGAAAAAAAAAAAAAAAAAGAGGGCCCCCCAGGAGCTTTAAGCCATAATGTGTCAGTATGCACAGCATATTATGGCCAACCAACCTGCCAAAGTGACCCCTCTGCCCCCCACCTAGATGTCTGCGCTCTCCTCCCTCACTGACACTTCCACCTTCGTCCTGGTCTTCTTCCGAATGACGAGGGAGCAAGGAGCCGGCTTCCCAGCCAATCAGGAAGCCGGGCAGCGTGTAATGACGCGCTGCCCGGCCTCCTGATACCGGAAGTATTGAGCTAGGCATCAGAGCATTTGAGAGAGTACGAGTACTTGCCCAAATATTCGACATTGGCACCTATACTAGTATTGGTGCATCCCTAACACATTGATCCTGCCAGAAATATTACAGGGTGGCTCCTTTCCCTTGCAGGGTCCTATGGAGTCACCCTTGTGTGTGCGTTAGTAAGCTGTGTGTGGCTCCACAAATACAGAGACAGCAAGACAATCCAATCCTCAGCTCCTTGCTAACCCACTTCTCCAAGCTACTAGATGAACAGCGGTCGTAGACTGCTCTGTCCCCCTTATGATCTTGTGCTGGACAGGAAGTTCAAGGAAGCCGAGCCGTTTGGAAACATGACAACTAAGTGCTTGGGTAAAATTATAAAGAAATGCTATGCTGGGCAATGTATATTTGTTTGATCTGGATTCATGACCAATAATAAAAAATAAAAAAGTTTGAGTATTTAAATGTAACTTTAAACTCTGATAAAAAGGTCCTTACACATTATTATAATGTTCTGGAATGCCGAGACTGCAATGTTAATACAATACTGGGTCTGATCATGAGTAACTACTACTTGGCACGGATTCTGAAAAATGTGGAGGTGTACCGGACTGACTTGTGCTCCAGAAAAGACACTGATAGTAACCTCCAGAAGTCCTTGCAAGCTTAGTAGGTGACTACATGGATTTTTTTCTTCAAATATGTAAAATCAAGTCTCGAATAAACAGAAAAAA